CTGTAGATCGAGACCAGAATCCGATAAGTTGGGAAGGACACACGCATAAGGGAGTCAATTTAACTAAAAAGGAAAATACCCCGAGGAGAAACCCGGGTTGCGTTCTCTGGCCCAGAATAATCAAAGGCTGGATGGGCTCGAGCCTAAAGCGGCTGGATCCGCCTACCGATGAAGTCGGCAGCGACTTCAAACCCCGACAACCCCTGTTCTCGGAGGTCGTCAACGATATCGATGAAAGATTGGAGGGATGGGGTCTAGGTGGGTTTGGTGGCCCAAGATGGAATCTTGTCTGGTTGCTCCTCAGGAACAACGAAGACTGGATCCGAATCCTCTATCTGAAGATAGAACCACCTCCCCCGCCATTTGCTGCGTGATGAGGGGCACTGGAAGGGGATGTATCGCGACTTCAGGCCATCCCGAAGTCGGAAACCAACACACCCGGACACCTTTTTAGGTTCCATCCAGCGTAACTCATAGTAAAAGTGGAAGAGGTCAAGAAACGACTCTACCAAAATGTAGGCCTTACAAAGATGCGTAAAAATACTCGGGAAGGCGATGGAGTTGGGGTTCAAATGGAGCAAGGAAAGACCATAGAAATTCAAGACCAAAAGGAGAAATTCAGAAGGCGGAGGAAAAAAACCGCAGAGAATAAAGTCCTCGATCGCAACCATGCGACCCAGGACAGGCTGGGGTTCAGTACCTCCTACTTCCCTCTCCGCGGTCCCGCGACCGGGAAGGGCGCCATCCTCCTGCAGTTTCTTCAGTGATGCGTTGGTGGAGGTAGACTTGTCGAGATCCATTGCCACCGGAGATTGCCGGAAAAAGGACCGAGATGAGCTAGCTAGGGTTTTTGCGGGAGCGAAGAGGACGAGGAACGCTTGGAAACTGGAGAGTTTTTTTTCAACAGGCGGACTTCAAATTGGATACTTCCGACGGTGCGAATTCCAAGGAAAGGAGAGAGATGGCTGCCGGAAATTTATGGGTCCGTTACGCGCAGCAGTTTTTCAGACTTCAATTTAAATTCACTCATGACCGTTGAGCTTCACCCGACGTTGTCGATCACTCCTCGTCTCTCGGTCCTCACATCGAGAACGACGACAACTTCGACATCAGAAGTCGCGATCGGTCTCACGAGTTCATTTAAGCAGAAGTCGGGGGCTACTGTCAGGGTTACGGGTAAGGTATACCCTCTACCCTTCGATATACGTCACATATAGATATGGTATGCTTGCGCGTATACGGACGTTTTCGGCATAAGTTAAGGAATTCCATTATGGAGTCCACAGATGTAAGGAGTCCTACTCGGATAGAACTGGGTCGTCATTGTATCGTGTCGGGTCCAATGTCTCCGAGTCCTACTTGGAGACCAGTTGACCTGCGGTATAAAAGGGACCCCCCGGAAGGACCTAAGGCATCGAATCTTACCGCCAACACATCCACCACAGCCTACGAAGCCGGAGCTTACAGGAGCCAAGTCGCCGGGAGATCTAGTCGAATCAACTCGACTATGATCTCGTCGGTATCATCGAGTTCCACTATTCTCTTTGTAATCTGTGGTTTTCACCATATAATCCCATATCAACTGGATTAGGGTTATTACCTATCAAGGGGCCTGAACCAGTATAATCTTTGTTTTCTGCCTGCTCGATGTCGTATTACGTAGATCCTCGTACCAGCGTACCCCAATACCCTCTATATCCGATCTACGGTTATCCCCCGTCGACAATGATGATTTGTTTTTCTGTTTTTTTTTTCTGGCTACTATCTTTCAGGGTTCATGCAAACATCATATTGTCTTTGTGCTGTTCGTTTCAAAATATAACACGAGAGGCAACACGCATTAGAGCATGTATAACAGGAGGCTCTTAGTTTTGTTTTGTTATACGAGATCACGATGAAAATTTATCCTGGCTCATATGCTTTCAACTCAGGTCCCGTCCCATACATACTCCATGGTGCACTGGAGCTTGGTCTACACTTGCATAGTACAAGCATGTGGATTTAACCGTGACGAATGGATAGGTGGAATCCACTCGTAGCACCCTATCATCAAACGCGTATAGCATGAAGCAATTTAACAAGTTTTAGAATCTAAATCTTATTTAAATAATATGAAGACCTAGATGATATAATCACATAAGTTTAGAGACCGACTGTGCACTTTACTTAATACTTTTTAGTGTCATATATTCCAATAAGTATAAGACATGAGGTATATTGTTAGCAAAAGTATGCATTAACGGATTTAGCAAACCGTGGGTGATTTTGGGAAAATGAATTTAATGTGACGCATGCATGTGTATGTACTGATGTATTAACTATTTATAATGATGTAAATAACAACAAAAATGTTTATATACAATTATAATTCAGATTAAGATGTCAAACTATATGTTGATGGGTTCATTAACCTGCTGTGGATATTAATCGGTCCAAACTAGACACATTCTACATATATATCAAATAACCAGTTAACTAGTTGTAACACATTTAGTGATACAACGAAGTAACTTTCGTTCATCGTTAAGAATATTGATTTCACATCATTCTCTTGCTATGTAGATTTGTGCCAAACAACAAACAACTTGCTTCTAGTCTGTAAAGGTAATGAAAAAAATTAGCTAGCATCATATAAGTAAAGAAATAATAATATTTTAAATGAAGTTTGAACTCACTATACTGACCTTTGGTAGGTATACTCTTTCATCCATCCATGCGCACAAATTATAAATTAATTATTTCTCGGTTTTGATGACCCTTGGCAATTATATTCCTTCATCCATCCATGAGCACAAATTATAAATTATGAGTTTGTTAGTTTTGGTGGAATTCCAAAACCAAGTTTAGTTGTTGTGAGTTAAACAATTGGGAATATTATTTAACAGCATATATTGTGATACACATCCCACCATGGATTTTGGCAATCTATAAAAGCTTTTGTTGTGTTTATTTGATTGTGTGATAAATATCTATGCAAACTTGTTTTGGATGGATTGCAGTACGACATAATCTGCACTTTTCAGTTGGCCTCTAATATCAGCGTGACCATCAAAAACACTCTCATAACTTAATTAGGAGAAGAACATCTCTCCACCCTCAAACTCTGAAAAAACGAGAGCGCGATATGATTGCTATTTATAATATCAAATCCCTGGATACACCAATCAAAACAGCCTCCTCACATTGACTTTATGAACAGCCTGTCAACCTGGATAAATCTGCATTGTTTAACATGAGCTAATGCGATTCACATTTCCTAGTTTGACATGGAGCCAACACGGTTTATGCATTCTCAGGTGAGAAAGAAAAACGAAAAACAACCGGCTACTAGGGTCTGTTTGGTTCACTCCCTCACTTTAGCAAACTTTGCCACATTTTTTAAGATATATGTTTGTTTCACTTCCAAACTTGTGACATGCCACAGTTTTTTAATTCAAAGGCCCACATGTCATACAACCATTTTTTAGCCAAACCATGTCTAAGTTGTGGCCATCAATTTATAAGCCACATATTTGGCTAGGTTTGGCAAGAAAGTTTGGCAATGTTTGGGAGGGAACCAAACAACCCCTAGTCTTGCATGGTAGGCATAATACGCATGGAAGTCTATATACAGTTAGGCACCAGCAATAGAACTTTTTTTTTTCATCTAATCAGTGCATATATTATATTAAACAAAAGAAAAGATGATTATAACCCGACTATTACAAGAAAGAGGCATATAAGAGATACCGAAACAAAACAAATAAATGAACTCTAAATCTTAAAACGTTTGTAAGAGACGTGAGCAGACAGGCAAAACCACATAATGTACATGCATGCAAAAAGTATATGAATGAGCATGAACAAATAAATTAAGCCACTCGGTTGTCTGCCCGTTCTCAAGAATCCGAACATATACAAAATACATATAAGTGTAATATGATTGGATCTCCAAATGTGTCTACTCCAAGATGCCGGATTTCATTTATAGGCACATTTGAAAAGAAATTATGGAAAAATGTGTACAAGCTAGTATATGAATGAGCATGAACAGTAAATTAAGCCACTCGGTTGTCTACCAGTTCTAAAGAACCCGAAGATATACAAAATATATACAAGTGTAATATGATTGGATCTCTAAATATGTCTACTCCAAGATGCCGCATTTCATTTATAAGCACATTTGAAAAGAAATTATGGGAAAATGTGTACAAGCTAGTATAGTGAGAGAAGAATCGATGCAACAAAGAAAAATTACCCCACCTCTAGAATATGAGTCCTTTCTCAAATCAATCTTTTATTAAACTAAATCATTCCTCTTAACATAGACATGTCTATAGGATACTTTATATTCGTTCACTGCCTTACCTAAGCTACCTCAATATATTTAAATGGAGTGGACATCAGTTAAGCAGATCAGATTAATCCATACCATGTTTAAATTGAAATCCTAATTTATGAATCCTCTATCTAACACTCCACCCTGTAAAATAGGTTAGACCAATATTTTAACATTGTTACGTATATCACCTCACCATTGCTTATCTCGAATTGTTTATAATTAATTATACTCGCTTCATCTCGATTTGTTCCTAATTCATTCCTCCTTGTTATAAGGAATAAATGACATCATGATAATATCTTCAAACTAAGCATATAGTAAGTACTATTTATCATATGCAACATTTATATGAGGCAAGATTCTATGTGAGGTAGAGCTCATATTGCTTCACGCGTTCTCATGCGAAACTATAACAAATAATAATAATAAAAATGGTGGCTGTTATGAACTTATGATATCCTAGCATTGCAGGTATGGTACGCATGAGGTCCATCTATCCATGCCGGTGTTCTGGCGCCCCGGTCAGGATGAAACTACTGGCGATAGGTAGTTATAACATGGACCGTAGATTAATCCATTGGGGTTTGCAGAACAATGAGAATCAGTTAACCAGTTCTCAACAATCGCTTACGATTCAGCAAAGATATATATACAAAAAAAAAAAGCAAATGCTTATCAATTGTATCATCATGTATATATGTTGCTGGGAGTTCTTGGTAGCATCGCAATCACGCTAAGCAGACCATGTGTTGATGAAAACAGTTTCATGTTTCATCGCATCTCTACAAGTCACGGAAGATCCAAAGAACATGTTCTTTCTTACTGGTTTGGTTTCTTCTTCACAAAATAAGAGAGGGATTACATCGGAAAAAAAATTGAATGAAGTATGAAACCCAAAGTACAACAAAGACTCGGTTTCTATTTCTTCTTCCCAGCCTTGCCCTCCTTTCTTCTGACGATCTCATCGGCATACCGGATGCCCTTCCCCTTGTATGGTTCAGGCGGCCTCCACTTCTTTATGGAAGCAGCGAATTGACCGATCTCGCTCTTGTCGTAGCCACTCACAATGATCCTGGTGTTCTCTTCCACCTTAACTTTCAGGCCTTCTGGAACAGCCATCCGAACCGGGTGCGAAAATCCCAGGTTCATCACAAGATCTTTACCCTCCACCGCTGCACGGTATCCAACCCCAACTAGCTGAAGCTTCTTATCAAACCCCTTTGACACACCTACGATGATGTTGTCAGTCAGGGTCCTGCATTGAATATTTGCAGCAGAGTCCTTAGAGGAATAGGCATAGAGAAAGGCACATCAAGATCATAAATTCATAATTTCTTATCGGCATATCACACCTTTCATCACTCGATCCCATAAAAAATGTACTGAGTACGCCTTAACCAAGCTGGGTATTCTCCCAATTCAGATTATATGTTGCTAAACATTCTTATCTACTGGAATTTCTTTTCAACCCTCAAGGTTTATTCAATTATGTTTGATGCATACCGGTTAAGTGTATAGCTTACTTTTCTAAGATCCAGAACAAAGCAAGATCATCACCAATATTGATTACACGAACACGAGGTCAGAGAACAGCAAACATTAAAGGAAAAAGCTGCATATTGCAATGTAGAGTTCACATCCTTGAAGGAGCTACTGGGAGTATAGGGCCGCGGTTATCTATCCCGATGTCAAAACATGTTGAGATGCAAACATGCAACTTATTTAAGGCACTGGTAATATGACAATCAAAATACACATGGCCCATGTGAATTCTATGCTCATGGTGCTCTCCACTGCAAGAAGCAATGGCTCATATATGATGCTTTGTGACAAACGCTGACAGATCTTAAGTAGCTGACTTCTGAAATACCAGGAAAAATATATAGAACACAAACAAAAAGATACACCAGGAAAATATATGGAACACAAACAGTAAGATACACCAGGAAAATGTATGGAACACAAACAATAAAATAGTACAGTACATTATGAACAGTGAACCAGAGGAAAATGAAAGCAAAATTGTCTTACCTGAAAAGGCCATGCATCTGGTTTGCCCTTTTGGTCTCCACAGTCTTGGAAACTCTCAGCTTACCAGATTCTTCTTTCACCACTTTTACTTCACCTGGATAGTTTAGTGATAATTCTCCTAATGGACCCTTAGCCTTAATAAACTGCTCCTCTAACGTGAGGGTCACATTTGATGGCACTTCGATCGGCTTCTTTCCTATTCTAGATTCTTTGCACTCCACTGTTGTTCTGACAAAACCAACTCTGCCAGCAGGGATAACACGAAGACGAATCCCTTGTGTCTTTCCAGCAAAGCCAGTCCTTGAATTGCTGATTTAATTCCGACAAATAAACACTCAATCAAAACTTTCATATTAAATTGCAAATAAATAATTGCCCTTTACAACAAAAACCAATGCATTATTTTAGTTTGACAGATTAGTAAAACATTATAATTCAAATCCATGAAGTAGTTACTAGCTAGAAAGATAGGATTCAAAGACCAAATGAGAAACCTACAATTTCTCCTGCCTGAACTTGTATCAACATAGCTCTTTGTTTGGTGTTCAGTTTATGAGTGATAGCATAATGCCATAATGAACTAATTAATTTAAAAAGTTTTTTGGCAAGTTAAATCTTTCAGTTAATAGCACTTCGGAGCTGATTTTCTGAAACAAATCTAGACCCTCGGTATTGGCCCGTTAACATGGCCATGATGTTTTTGAAGAATAATGCTAGCAAGTAAAATTTCATGGTTAATCATTACCACACCACTGATGTTAAGTTATAAGGTTTCAGATATTGAAAGGGTATTTGCATACTTTTCCAGGTTCTCAACTAGTGATCAAAGCAAGAAAAAAAAAGGGGTATTATATCCAAAGTGCTGCCGCATTGCACTAACTGATTGGAAAATTTTCCGAACCCTCAACCAAACACATCCAAAACTGCAATCCTTCAGCTACAAAATGACCAAGCCCCTGACCTGTCTGTGACTCGTGTATCACTGCAAATTGCAGGCGCGGGGAGACTCAACTTACTGCACTCAATCGAAACTCTCCTAGGAATTAAATACGGCCTATTGGCATACTCCTAAAGCCAATTGCATCCAAATCATTGAATTAAGGATGATGGGCACCATCTCCAAATCCCCCATTTCTTGGCGGAGCAACAAGAAAGCAACTAATGCCGGTTCTTGGCAGCGCAAAAAAAAAAAACTGAAGCAGCATCGACGGGGTGGAGGAGGCAGGATGAGGAGGAGGAGGAGGAGGAGGGGGAGTTACCAAGGGAGGTGGAGGGAAGGGGAGAGGGACGCCATGGACGCGCTCGTAGACGCAGCCGCAGGAGGAGGAGGAGGAGACGCTGCCTCCGGTCACTCGCAGTGTATCTCCCTGCTGCGCGGCGTTTGCTCCCCGCATTATCCACAACGATGGAAGGGAGGAAGGTGGCGAAGAAGCCGTCACGGACTCATGGGCTTCAGGCCCGATACAACACGGGCTTGGTGGCCCATGGGCCACACGATAAAACTACAGTTAATTTGAAAAAAAAAAAAGTTCTAAAAACTGGGTGAATAGCTCACTGTCAAGTGTGACTCGAGAGATACTATACCATATATATGTAGTCATTTATTTATTTATTTTTACCAATTCCACTGTAGGAGAGGTCTCCAGTTAAAAATGTTATTAAGAGAAGAAATAATTATAGGGTTTCAAGCCAAGAAGTTATAATAGTTTGTTTTTACTTTTGAATATATGTTTTTAAAAATAATAACAATATAAGCCATGCTTTTAAGTACACGTAATGATAAAATAAATCATAACAAAATAAACAATAATCACGTGATAGCAGTCCAAAATTCAATGGAGTCAATAGGTATTGCATCATACGCATGGTGTGTAGTGACAGTAATGTCAGGCATGTTCGTGATGGTTTAATGCGACACACATCCCGAATTTCTATGAATTTACATACATGAATTTTCTAAAAGAGCATTTTAAACCTAATTTTTTCAGCTTTTATCATAATAGAATACTTCATTACTATAATTTGCGTCGATTGGATTAATCCCCGTAGAAAAATCTTATAAAGTTATTATTTATATGTTCTAAAGCATTGCGTTTTCTTTATAACAGGCTATTATAATTACGAGAAACTTGTATGTACGACCAAACAGTCATAATTTATTCAAATTTACAACAACAGTGTTGTGTCAACAGGGGAGTACACGCTACCATCTCGCACATGTTCCATTCCCATCCATTGCGCTTAATAATGTTTCAACTAATCGAGCCACCCATCACCTGCAAGTTGCTACTACACTACAGCTGTTTTCTTGACCACTCTTGAATAATAATCAGAGGCCATTATTCCTAAACCACGATTAATATCACTGTCAAATACTACTCCTCGCCGTCGTCATCGTTAACTCCGATTCACAAAAATACATAGCTCACCCAACTCTCCCTCCCCTTCCTCTCGCCGGAGTCGCCGCGGCCCTAGCCATCGACCGGCGGCGGCGGCGGCGGCGGTAGCCGTGGGATGGACGAATTCGGCGGCGGATCCGTCGGGCCGTTCTCCAAGAAGCCGAGGCACCTGTCCCGGTCGCTGACGTACCACCACCACCACCACCCCTACCAGGGCCAGGGGCGCTCGCCGTCGTTCAACGCGCGGCGCCAGCATCATCCGCAGCAGCAGGACCACGCGGTGGTGCTGTACACGACGTCGCTCCGCGGGGTGCGCCGCACGTTCGCGGACTGCGCCGCGGTGCGCGCCGTGCTGCGCGGGCTCCGGGTGGCGGTGGACGAGCGGGACGTGTCCATGGACGCCTCGCTGCGGCGGGAGCTCCAGTCGCTGCTCGCGGCGCGGGGCCGCCCCTTCTCCCTCCCGCAGCTCCTCGTCGGGGCCCGCCTCGTGGGGGGAGCCGACGAGGTGCGGCAGCTGCACGAGGCCGGCGAGCTGCGCCGCCTCCTCGAGGGCGCCGCCGGGCAGGACCCGGCCTTCGTCTGCGGCGGCTGCGGGGGCGTCCGGTTCGTGCCATGCCCCGCCTGCGACGGATCCCGCAAGGTGTTTGTCCAGGAGGAAGGATGCGCCCGCCGCTGCGGCGACTGCAACGAGAACGGATTGGTACGCTGCCCCAATTGCTGCTCTTGATCGCTTAGCTTTGTGCAACAATAAATCTTCCATGTTAATATAAGGATTATAGCTTATAGGTAATAGTAGTAGATAGAGGCAAGAAGGGATGAACACTTCTTGATTTCTTGGCCTATGGATTGTATGTGATTATGACCAATTTGGGTGCTTAGTGTTCGGCGTTTGGGGATTATAGTGTATGGATTTGAGCCTATATGGGTTTGTATGTATCAAATGTAACAAATATTCTGCAGTGCGTAGTCCTGCTGGTTTGATCAATGTAAATAGTTGGGTTTGGTATATTCAGAATACAGTTCATGTCTCCTACTAGTTTGTCTTTTAACTTCAAGGATGATAGATAGATAGCTGCTTCAAAGCAATATAATGCGAGCTGATTTAACACATTTTTAGCTCCTAGTTAATATTAAAACATTTTTTTTGGCAAGAAGTGATATGCGATTCAATAGCTTCATTCTAACTAAGCCGTTGTATAATCATATGGTAGTGTTATCCCCTTTTCCCCTTCTTCTAAGATGGTAGCATTGTTGTTTGCAAATGCGCAGTTCACGGAACATTGTATCTTCAGCAATACCAGTTCAGTTCCTCCAGTTGTTTGATGGAAACTTCATGTAGTGGCATTCAGCCAGTTTTGACAATGCTAATCCTTTGACCATGCAACATCTGTCTCCACTCGACAAGCTTTGTGCGAAGGCATAGATGAGGTATCATTCAAGATAACTAGAACAGTAGAGATTGTACATGTGTCTATCCGATTTCTAGTGTGTACAAAACCTAATAGGATTTAAACCTAACGAAATTAGTGTACAATGAACCATACTTATTGTTTCTCTCATCAAATATGATGTACATGATTCACGACTGTAATTAGCAGGCTATTGCAACGCTGACATATGAATCACGATGATGCATGTGAGCCCAAATTGGCGTCACTTGTGTGATTTTAGCGTTTGTTTTGGTTTGTTGCTAAAACAAACTCTACCAAAGCCAATCCAAATATTGCCCAAAACAGCCTCTATTAACAAAATTTGGTTATTCTAGAAACTTCCTCTTGCAAAAATGGGGCAAAGAAAAAAAAATCAAAAACACTTATTGAGTTAACAATACCAAATTTTGGTAGAGTTGATCTGGGCATCAAAGCAAACTACTCCCTTAACCCTTACTTCCATGAGCAAATTTTGTGAAATCCTTCAGATAAGGTGCCACGTCCACGACACAGTAGTACGACGGGTGCAGAGGTGCAGACAATTGAAGGGAAGGCAGTAACGTACGGGCACAACATTATTGCTCCTATAGCGTACAAACAGTACTACTCCGGACATGATGCAGATCAAATTATTGATTCTAGCGCTTCAACTCTTGTTTTTTCTTTAAGAAAAAAAATCAGCACTTCATTTTATCTTCTACTAATATTTACTCTGGGTGCTCAACCCCGATTTAATCTTGCACACCAAGTTGAAACTTTATTCGGAAAAAGCTTACAAAATCATTCTGGTATTCACCCTCCAATTCAAAAGCAGCATTTAAGATAAAAGGAAATGGTACATGCTACATGACATTTCACCATGATTTGTTACAGCATATCCGATTCTTAAGAACTTTCAGATCATGCCTTAACATAGCTAGAAATATGCTGAAAGAATGAACAAACAAGCTAGAGATATGCTGAAAGAATGAACAAAGAAGCTAGAAATATGCTGGAAACATGAAAAAGAGTTCAACACATTCATCTCATGAATTGCCATTAGATTTCCCTATACCACAGAATGGCAACTCAACAAGCAGTTCAAGGCAAAGAGAAGTTTGCCAGGAATTCTACAATAGTGCCACTCTGGTCTACATGACTGTCATCTAGTCATCCACAGGCACCAATCTAACAGAAGATGGTAGCTAAAACAAGCTAATAACATTACAAGTCTTCATTTTAGAGTCACTGCCTATGAATGGCTATAATTCTCGCACTGTGATGATACATAGGTTCATGCAAGGGTTAAGAACGATGAACAGATCATTTCACATTTTATTTTCACTGTTCCTTCCAAATTCTCCCAGTGACCCGCAATTTGAGCTCCTTCCTTTCTCCACCAGAGAAGAACAAGGCCATGTTCCGTTGGATGATAAGCCCATCATAGCTATCCCGGACCTTCCGATGGCTGTCTCTGATGCTCCGGGGAACCCCTTGCCAGATCATTTTGCGGCCAGTGCCTCCTACCTCCAGGCTGTAGCTGTAGTTCTTTGCTTCCAAGTCATCACCCATGAACCTCAGGAAGGCGATGTACACAGGTGCCATCCCCAGCTGAAATGCTTCGAAATGTAGGCAGAAGTACTGGCCAAAGCAGCTGAAAACCTAGATGGAAGCATTATAGTTACTTAGTCCATTTTGTTCAATGGAAAAGAACAGATTAGAAGGAAATTCTTAATTTTATATTGCACTTAGAAAGCAGCAAGAAAAGGTTGCAGATCAAGAGCCCTGTCCAAATGCTATTATTGTGCTGTAAAGCAGACAAAGTTTTTTTTTTTTTTTTTGGAAATGGAAGCAGATGGATATTCTGATGCATAGTTTCTTCATAGGTGAGAGATTATTTTAGACCAATAACTATGCTGCATGATCAGCATCCTCAGTTGACATGAAAAGTACAGAGTGCAATCATACTGTACAAGTGAACCAATGTTTATTTTTACAGAAAGGCTCATAAAACTCAGTACAGAAATATGGACTATCTTAGCAGACAAGTGAACCAATCTTTGCATAAGTAAACATCAGTGATATACTTCACAATAACTAACATGGTGGAGTTAACGAGGGGATACCGTAAGCATCCAGGTGGCATTCTCAACTTCATGAGGATTCGACTTGACATAGCGATGGTTGAAGGTGCAGCCATTATGCATGTCAACCTTGTGGTCATCTTTCAAGTGATTCACCAAGTATGGAATGTCACCAGCAACTGTGCATTCAGATCCAGCATATGGACAGCTATAAGGCCTATATTGGCACTGTGACTCATGCTTCAGCTTGCAGTAGTAAGGATAAATGCCTACACACCCGAAGTTCTGGTACTTGCATGGAAGTTCAAGCGACGCAGCCACCTTCTCGAGAGCAAGACATCTAATATTACCCAGTTCATGCCTACAAGTTGGACAGCGATTGTGAACCCTTGGTTTGCATCCAGAGCACAATGTATGACCATTAGAGCACTGCATTAGCAGAAAAAGAGTTGGGGTTACAACTTACAACATAGTACAACAATGTGCATATTGTACATACTATCTTAGCTAACTTCTTTTTTGGTGCTTAAATACATGGGTAACAATTTGGTAGTGGAACAGAACATATGTGAAAAAGCAGCTCAGAACGACCGTTTTAAACCAGGAAATCATCTAGATAAGTTCAAATAGATCAGGCCAGACTACAAATATGATAGCAGGATTCAAGATAGTAAAAGCAATGCAATTAAATGAAACACGCATTTTGTTTCCCAAGTGACTTCCATACAAGAAAATATCCTTTTTAAGTGCAAAAAAGATTCAATAAGTGGTATATGTGCACCTGATGAATGGGAGGATACATTGCGCTCAGGCAGACTGGACATTCAAGCAGTTCACGCACACTGCTAGAAACTACCACATTTGGTTTTGGTGAATGCGGAACAGGATCACCAGCAAGTTCGGTAACATCCAGCACCTCAGTCTTTGGAGGATCAATTACCTCAGAACCGGAGTCATCAATATAAGTAACTGAGGCCATAAATACACTAGATATTGTAAGGGGTCCTGCTAGGAAAGAGAACTATCTGTGTTATTAGTGAGTCAAAATAAATGACAAATTCAATGCTTAAATACTTCCTTTTAAAAAACCAATTCAACACTTCCTATTAACACTATTATTAACAAAAAAAATCATTGCCTCATCAAAAGTATAGCCATATGCCCATATCCATACAGTCTCATAGTATGATTGGACACTGTTGAAGTGTTTAAGGGCTTTGAAGGAGATAGGGCCATAAAGGAGCAGAAATCAAGAAAGCACATGGATAGGGCCTCACATGTGCATCGGAAGTTTTGACCAGCCAGGTCTTCATACTGCATATTGTCCTATGCAACAGATATGTCATGAATGTCTATAGTGCTTGTGATGTTTTGTATATGCTTTGTATTAAGAAAATTTAGCATACCTGTTATAAGAAAAGTGTAAATTTTGAGAAAGAGATTGGTGTGTGAACTGCATTTTTCTTTCATTTGTGGATTTTATTAAAAGGTTTATATTTGTGGAAATTTGTAGTTCGTGCATTTACATCAATTAATGCTTCACTTTTTCTTTATAACCGTGGCTTCTTTTGACGAAGAAAAAGGTGGCATTTATTAAAATGTAACATAGAAAACCTTGCCAATAAACCCTAGTGCCTGCAAGTACTGTTTACAGTACCTTACTGCGGATAAAACAGAATTTCTATTTGGCACAAATCAGCTTTACTAATAACAAATCCACCTACAGTTTTTAAAGGGAAAAAATTAAGAAAAATGCAGGAGAAGTACTCCCTAACGATTAACAAAACACTAGTACTACTTTACAACCAAGATTTCATACTGAACTTTGAAATGAGACCCGTGAGCACAATCTAGCAAGTACTCTACCAACCAATTATATATACTCCCTGGATCAACACATCATCAGCTGAGCATGTGAGCTCGCAAATTCGCAGTACAAATCCGAGCTAACACAATGACGGCACATCACCATTAGGCACACCATCTCTAGCTTTCCATTCATTAGTAGCCCCATTGTGCAAAAAGGAACATTCGTGGAGTAAGAAAAAGTCAAGAACCCCCAGCTCAACCAATCGAAGTTCAAAAACTTACTCGGTCAAAGCACACGGCTGACGGGAGAGAGGGAGGGAGAGAGAGACCGGCCTGTTTGAATTCAGCCATGAGGCAAGCGCATCCCGGCAACGAGAAGCCGCATCAGATCAAGAACCCTAACAAATTAACAAAGACTCGGCGCAAACCAACCCACCAAGAACGCCCCCCAAAACCCCTCCTCCGCCCTCCGGCCGCCGCATTCGAACCATTTCCGGCAGAGTCAAACCCCGTGGACTCGAACCGGACACCCGCAAAGAAGGAAAAAAAAAACAATCTCTGTGCCAAATAAAGAACAGCCTTGGCAAAAAAAAAAAAAATCACAGAGCAGACCAACGAGAGAGAGAAAGAGAGAGATCGGCGGGATGTACCTCGGGGGTGGCGCGAACAAGGGAGGAGGGGGGAGCGAGACCGGCTCCGGCGGGCTCCGGTCTCGCTCGCTGCTCGCTCCC